CTAATCAAAGGGCTCTTTTCAAGCATATATTAAATCTGGGACTATTATACTATTAACAATATATTTAAATCAAGAGAAAAAAAGTTAATCACCTAATACAGTCATGGGTTACCTCCCCTAATCATCCAGGTATTAATGTATTGATTCATTTACCTTTAAAATAAATCATAATTTATTTTTTATAATTTTTCTACATTTAAACAATATATTACTGCCGATTTTATATTCACTTTGAAAATATAGCATATTTTAAAGATTATTTTTGTTAATAGTTTTTTTGTATTATACCGATATTGTAAGAAAGACCAAATAGAACTAGGTACCTCTTCAAAACTTGTGTGCAGTCTCATTGGCGATTATACCACAAGATATGTATAATATCGCATATATTTGATGGAACCCTCAATTACAGATTGAGGTGAAATACACAAATTAAAATCTAATACCCAGCGCGATACCAAGCATATTTATAATTGTGCTCAAGGTTTTGGTAACGTTTTGTATACAACATAGGTTCGTTAAACTATTACATAAATATTTTCAAATTAAAATCTTGTATTGAAAGCACATAAATGCTTGTAAATGTGTCTTACACACATCAAATCTTCAATTACCTTAGCATAAAAATTTGTATTCAAAATTTTACCCAAATCTATGACATAGCCCTTGTACTGTAACTTGACCTTCAAATACGTTTGACACAATAAAGTTTAACACGATTGGATTATTATTGAATTTTGAAAGTTAGTACCTACACATAGTTTTTCATCGGACTCGGACTTCTTTTGAACTGAGTTTTAATGTACGTATTGCTATGTGTTTCTTTATTCTACATTGGCTAGAGGTATAGGGGGAGGGTTGAGATCTCACAAAACAAGTTTAACCCCGCCGCATTTTTGCGCCTGTCCCAAGTCAGGAGACTCTGGCCTTTGTTAGTCTTGTATGTTTTTTTTAATTTTTTGTTAATTTATATGTTTTGGAGTTTAGTGTGACGTCCATTTTCACAGAACTAGTACACAATTTTATTTAGGGGCCAGATGAGGACCACCTCCGGGTGCGGGATTTTCTCGCTGCGTTGAAGACCCATTGGTGGCCTTCGGCTGTTGTCTGTTCTTTGGTCGGGTTGTTGTCTCTTTGACATATTCCCCATTTCCATTCTCAATTTTATTTGAATTGACAAAAGTCATAGAAACTTAACAAAAGTTTTTACATTTTTGTAGGGAAATGTTCAGTAAAAGTTTATGACAACGCACAGAAATGGAGATAAGCACTAGTTTAAGCATATTTTATTGTCTAAATACACAATATGATTGGATGAAAGTTATGATAACAACTTAACATAATCCGCACTATTTGAGACGTTCACAGAAGCGATCAAACTTAAAACGGAAACATGATTACATCAAACCCGTTTACCATAAAAACTTCTACGAAAATAAGAACTCTATCGAAAAATGTGTTCCATCGCTAAAAAAAAGAAATACATTATATGTATATCTTGTTTGACCGACGCATAAACTGTTATCGCTTGTCCGGACGTTTCTATAAGTATAAATGCACAATGAACGTTAATTGAACTTTAAATTCTTTATCGTCGGCTAACCTTTGCGTTATTTTTTATAATTTTTTTTCTTTTTGTTTAAGCTCTTACCTCATACACATTTTTGTTTATCTTTTGCATTCCTTAACATTTTGCCCTTGCGAAATGTCTAATTAAACTAAAACAGTTTAATGTCTGTCTCGTATGGATCATTTGCATAGTAGCCAACCTTTACTATGATACTGTATGCAATGTTTCATATCGTATCTATTATTTGTTCATTTTCTTTTTACAAATTGTGTTATTTTATCGAAATTAAGGTTACATCGTCTTCTGTCAAAGATGTCTCATTAGACAAGATGGTGATCTGTGGTGGCTGTTATTCTCTGTAAAGTGTAAGTATACAAATATGAAGACGTGGTATGATTGCCAATAAGACAACCATCCATGCACCTAAGTTTAAATGAAGTGGATGTAAGATAAAAATTATAGGCAACCGTGCGGCCTTCAACAATGAGAAAAACCCATGTAAGTGTTTTGCTGCTCATTTATTTGGTTTCTAGCGACGCTGATAAAATTTAGTCCTTTATCAAGATTGCTCCCCATGACCCCAAATAACCCTCTCCCCCTTTTCACCTCAGATATATCATGGCTATTATCTGTCCAGTATTCATTGTTTCGACATGCCTCATTGGGTTCATTTTTTTTTTTATTAATCTCGGTCAGTAGATATTGTCATTTTAACGAAATTTACATAAATTTCTGTTTTATCACAAGTATTTAGATATACACTATTAGGTCAATGTCAGAAAAATATCAACGTATGTCGTCGTCCGTCGTCGTCGTCCGTCGTCTGTTATTTTTTACATAGATCATATCCTCTGAAAGTACTGAGCCACAATCATTAATGGAGTTTGTAGTTTGAAAAATGTTTCCAATGACCCCGCCTGCCAACAAACATGGCCGACATGGCTAGAAATAGAACATAGGGGTAAAATGCACTTTTTGTCTATCTTATAGATAGTGACATTCTGACAGGTGCAAAAATGTTAAGAATAATGAGATCTACCTAATGACTATTTACATCAAAACTGTCACACGACATCTTATAGGAGTTTATACCCTTAAACGACAAGTTTTACCAATTTTTTCTTTTCATTTTTGCCTATCATCTCGAAAATTATAATAAATATACAGAAACTTTAAACTACAAAAATTCGTAAGGGTTCCGCGGAACCCAGTGTCTCGCCTACTTTTGCTGCTGGTCACAGGCTCAACAAAAATGGGGAAAAAATATTAAAATTTTTCTTATAGATACTATCTTTTGATTGTAAGAAGCTTCTGTCCAAGTTTGGTAAAAATCCAGAATGGTTTATGAATCTAATAAATGTTTTAAAAACTTTAACGACAGACTCTATGTAATGTTAACTGGAAGAAAAACTAAGTCCATTTATAAGTAATATACGGAAAAACAGGAAATATATTTTTACAAAATTTCCTTCTAGATACTAGCTTTTGATCATAAACAAGCTTCTGTCCAAGTTTGGTACAAATCCAGGATAGTTTGAGAAAGATACTAAAATTTTAAAAACTTTAACCACAGAGTGAATGTAATGTTAACTGGCAGAAAAACTAAGTCCATTTATAAGTAAAATACGGAAAAACAGGATTTTTTTTTTACAAAATTTACTTCTGGATACTATCTTATGATCATAAACAAGCTTCTGTCCAAGTTTGGTAGAAATCAAGGATAGTTTAAGAAAGTAATTAAAATTTCAAAAACTTTAACCACAGAAATATTTGTGGACGCCGCCGACGACGACGCCGACGACGGAATGTAGGATCGATATGTCTCGCTTTTGCGACAAAAGTCGCAGGCTCGACAAAAATGATCAACAAGACAACATCTGCAAATAAGCCATATGTATATTCCCCTATAGTGAAGGTCTTTGGTAAAAAAAGTGGCCAATGTTGAAGGTGCAGGTGAGTAACACATGCTCTTTAGAGCCTCTTGTTTGTGTTAGGCTTTAAAACTGGTCAAGAGCGAGGTTTACCGAGTCCTTCAACAGTTTCATGTCGAATACTGCAGCTAAAATAGTTACAATTATAGTTATTAAACTATAAACACAAATATAATGCTTATTTTCAATACCTAAACGAGCCCTACGTTGTGAAGAAAAATAACGCAACATGAAATATACCTTGCCAGAAAGATCACTTTGCTACTATATCTGGTAAATAAAGACAGCCGGAAGTGTGCAAGCTGTAGTTTAATATATTTATTGATGTAATCGTCCGGAATATTACCGATTTCCGTGTACGACAGATGTTTCTGGAATAATAAGTACGTGCTGGATCAAAATTTGTAAATTTTAAAGTATTGCCCCTGGAGCTACTATTTCAGCTCTCGTTTACCTGTCTGTAATTAAGGAAAGTCGCCATTTTGAGTTGAAATATTATGTCTCTGAATAAACCGTCAACCAAAGAGTTAAAAAAAAACAGAACTCAAAACGAAGTAAGCATGATACAGCTGTATTAATTTGTAGTTGAATAAATAATGACTGTACACTTTGAATTTTCGATCAAACAGTTACTACGTATACACGATTATATCTACGTAAACCATTAAAGAACTTAAGTTACCTAGATGATTATAACGTCTATTGAATTTAATAGATACAGCTAGTTATAGTTAGTAACACCCATGAAATTTGATATATATAGCATTTTGAGTACACACCGAAATAAGAGTGATGGGTGGTTTGCATATGATTCATATCAGCAAGTTAAATACTTTCAGGGTGCATTCGTTTACTTGGAACATTTTTTCATCTAGTGTTATATTGATTATTATTGCTTGGTTTATTATACTTATGTTGTGGTTATCTTGTATACCGTTATTATAGAGTTAAGTGTATTCCTTAATTTTCTGGTTTGTATTGCATGTTTTATTTGCAATCTTAGGTTAAACCCAACCCAACCGAATATTGATGTGCCTATCACAAATCAGAAACCGCGCTCTTGATTGTTTTATGTCACATTTTAATGTTCGTCGTTATTTGATGAATTTTCGGTGATCTGATTTGTTAGTTGTATGGGCGCCAAGCAAACAACAATACATTTTAGTTTTTAGATTCGGGACAATCAAGAGCTTGACAGATAATTTATATACCTGTCTATTGTTAAAGACTGTTAACCCTCTCGAGGTTGACTTCTTGGTGTCTTATGGTCATGTGCACTGTTGGGTTGCTTCAACTTCAACTTCATTACTTTTCAAAATCCATACTGGACATAATATTAAACGAGGACATTCATTGTTTTCTTAATATATCAATATTGGTTTGAATGTCCTAGCAACTATTACGTTATCACTTACATCTACTTAAAATCTGGTAAAATATATTGAAGTATTGTTCATATCCTGTTCTACTTTGTACGAAGTTATCCTAATCACCGATAACAACAAATGAGGAGGGAGAAAATCTATCTCGCAATAAGCCAAACTATTCAATTAATTGATCGATAAGTGGTGTTTATTGGTGGAGGAAGCAGAAGTATCGAGACAACCAGGAAAATCTTACTATTCAAAACTATGGTATGTGTAACATTAAATTGTAAGAGAAAATATGACATACAATGTAGATTTAAGTAACTTTGTATTTTACCACACACATGATAACATGAAATGGGAGTGGGTGCAAAACGAATATCCTTACATATGATTAACAATTACACTTGTGACACGTACATTTTTGTACTAAGGAAGACAACCCAACAGATTTAGACAAAATCTTTAAAAATATTAAAGTTGATTAGAATAATAAACATATTAAGTGTCAGTGAAACAAAATTAATTGTGTGTCTACTAAATGATTTGGTTTTTTTTTTTAGATTTGTTGTATGTCAAATTAGAGCCAAAACATTGGGCATTCTGGGGATACTCATTTATGTTTGATTTAGAATTATACATAATTTTATGCAACTTTCTTTTTGTTCCTAATCTATGGATGTGAAAACCCTGTGGGAATAAAATACACCGAAAAGTTCAAACCCTAAAACAGTGTTCATTTCCTTTCAACAGTCTCCGGGACAAGTTTGCACTTCCGCTGAGTGCAAAAGTTGTCACCTTAATTTTTGGAGTTAAGTCAAAATGAAGTTGATAACTTGGTTGGTATTGGTTCCCTGATATTTGTCCTAAAAAATTTTGGCTCTAGCACCACTGTTGAAAAAGTTATGCCCCTTTTTTTCAACAATTTCCTCAGAGGAAAAGTAGTTTTCCTCAAGGGAAATCAAATTTCCCTAAAGGAAAAAGATTTTTCCTTAAGGGAAATTGTATTTTCCTCAAGGGAAAAAGATTTCCCTTAGGGAATTTGCTGCATTAATATTTCCTTTGAGGAAATTCTATTTCCTGTGAGGAAATTTGCGGCTTCAAATTTTCCTTTGAGGAAATTTTATTTCCTCTGAGGAAATTTGAGGCTTCAAATTTTCCTCTGAGGAAATTTGCAGCTTCAAATTTTCCTTGGAGGAAATACTTTTTCCTGTGAGGAAATTTTGTCAACTGCAATTTCCTTTGAGGAATTATTTAACAAACACTTTTCCTTGAGGGAAAATTCAATACCACAAATTTCCTCTAAGGAAAACATTGTTCTCCAAATTTCCTCTAAGGAAATTTCTGTACATCAACTTTCCCTGTAGGAAATGCTTTCCCCTATTTTTACTCATTGTAAATTTCTTCACTATACAAACAGTATGAACATAATGTTTACAAGACTTAATAAATGATACAAATGATATTTAAACTTTAATAAATTTTTGACTCAAAATTATCATGACATACAAAAACAATATAGTGAGTCTGACTGTTTAGGTCAAGGTATTGTACATACTTTATATGACTTTAACTTTGATTTTTTTAATATTTTTTGTAGCAAAGTATTCTGTTTTCTTTGTTATTGTTTCAATTGTATACATTAATAAGCAACCAATTTGAATGTCATACCATTTGTGGTGTTCTTAAGAATGCGTTCATATTTGCAAATTAAATAATAAAATAAACACTTTTCTTGTAAATTTTAATTTTCCTCTGTTTCAGCTGCTGTGTACAGTTATTCAATTCACTACGTAAAAGTTCATAACATAAATTATTCCATTCATTAACAAATTCCTTCAATTCTTAGAGAAAACATTTTTGCAATTTGTTCTTCGAAGATCTTCTTCAGTATATTTAATATGAGGGAGCGATGTAAATGAGTGGATAAAGCTGGTGTTCCTTTCAACAACAAAATACTATTTTTTTCTTCATTTCTCCCTTCTTTCGACGAATATATATAATATGTTGTTGCATTTATACAATTGTGTTTTTCTGCATCTATGATAGAACTCATTTTGTTTATAGCCATTATCATGTGATTATGATGAAATTTCCTATTTCTTTTTTGCAGGAAAGCACACATTCCATTTCACATTAATCCAATTAGCGCACCATGTAGATAGATATCAACTTTCAGTTTCCTCTTCAGTATTGACCTATTGATCATGAAAACCAAGATGTCTGATCACCTATAAATACACAAAATAAACAAATAAAATGTTATAAATGGAGAGAGAAACAGCAATAAAATAGCTTATTTTGTCATGTTTATGAACATTTTAAGAATATTTCCTTTCTTACTTGCATGACTTGTGAGTTCTCTTAATTCCGTGCTTTTTGTCTTTGGGTTTTTATATTACCCCGGTAGTTGATTTTGTGCATTTTATCAATCTTTCGAGTTGAGGCAATTGCAACAGTTATTTTTACAGTTTGTTCTTTATATGTTGAGCTGTTAAACCACTGTCCAAGGTTAAGGTAGGGTTGAGTGCTCACAAACCTGATTTTTTTATTACATGTATTAGTTTTTATTGATTTTTAACTAGCTGTCAGTAGCTGTGAGTACTAACAGATCTTTGTGTCTTTTCGATTAAGAGAAAGGTATACATTTCCTGCTTAGTTCGGACTGTTTATTTTTTTGCAGGAAATCTACCGGTATGTCATTTGTTGTCTGGTGAAGAGTTGTCTTATTGGCAATCATGCCACATCTTCTTATTTTTATATAACCTTGCCATATTCTGATTGTGCCTGTTCCAAGTTCGGAGCCTGTAGTTTATTCTGACACTCAAATTTAGTGGTTGTAGTTGTTCATATCTGTCATATTTATTTTTTTGTTATTTTTTTTGTTATAAACTAGGCAATTAGTTCTACAGTTGGGATTATTTCAATTTTTCGTCTGAGGGCCTTTTATAGCTGACTACTTTGACAATAGGGTATGGACTTTCTCATTATTGAAGGCCGTCACTGGCCTATAATTGCAATGATCAATAGTTTTCATATTTAATATGCCACATCTTTTTATTTTTATAATAATCATGATAATCATCTTTCAAGGGCAATAACTTTTATAAAAGCGGCCTTATGAGTCTTATCGAGCATCACTGATGAGTGTTTTGTGAACGAAACACGCGTCTGGCGTAAATACAAAATTTAATCCTGGTATCTATGATGAGTTTACTTACCATTTAGGTTTTGTTGACATTTGCAAATTTTAAATTGCCTATCATTTCTGCTGTTTATAATTTCTCTGCATCTTCTATAGTTCTTGTCCTACACATAAAAAGAGTAAAAATTATTATTTAATGACATCTTGCATCAATAATTATTTTGCTGTTTAATGTATATATCAATACGTGTTTAATAAAAAGCTGTACCATGAGTGCTTGATAAGCTTGTTGCCCTTTTAGCTTGGGTTTATGCTTTAAATGAATTTTAATGATCAACTACATTATAGAAAAACTCTGAGCACTGCGCAACTAAGACCCCAAACCCCCCCCACCTACAAAAAACAAAAGAGCCTGTGTCGCTCACCTGACTCTATTTGGGTTTTGGAAATCATATAAAAAAGATAAAAATCATAACAGATACTTTAATAATGATTGAGGCCATATTTGGTTTAATATTGTCCTACTCCGCTGGCGGCCGTCTTGGATGATGCATCAGCTACAGAGTAACAACACTTGGTCAACACCTCATAAGGAACATTCATGCTATGTTTGGTTTCATTCCATTCAGTGGTTCTCTAAAAGAAGACATTTGTATGTATTTCCTATAGGGTCCTATCTTAAACTAAGTCCCCCGCTGCCGGCCATCTTGGATGATAGATCGGCAACAAAGTAACAACTCTTGGTCAGCACCTCATAAGGAATTCAGTGGTTCTCTAGAAGTTCAAAATGTAAAAAGTTAACAACGGCAACGGACAACGACGGACGCCAAGTGATGAGAAAAGCTCACTTGGCCTTTCGAGCCAGATGAGCTAAAAAAGGACATGCACACAGAGTGGTATTCATTGAAACAAAACATGAAAATAATTTGGCTCCATTTTAAGGGATATTGCAAGTGTATATACATTTTGTAAGTTTAAGGCCGTGATTTTTGAACAAATACAATTCTAAAACCTTCCAAAGTGTGAAAATGGACAATTTTAAACAATTTTCCAACAACTAAAATTCCATAACTCTGCATCATATATAAAAATAAAAAGGGGATGATACTCCGGCTTGCATATCATATAAAGTTATAAAGGAAGATAACTGAAGAACGGTAAAATTTATACTACTAAAATTATAACTTGATCTGATTTTGTGGTAAAAAGTATTGCGTTAAAGTTTAATAAAATTTGGTTGAGGCAAACTTAATTTAGAGGACGGAAACGTAAAATTCATCATTTTTTCCATCTGTAAAGGACATAACTCTAGAACAGACTGAGTCAGTAAAAGTGACACCACCAAAATTCAAACTGTTTTTTGTGGTAATAAGCATTGTGTGCAAGTTTCATAACATTTGGTTGAGGCAAACTAAAGTTAAAGATAGAGAGCCGGAAACCAAAAATTCAGCAATTTTTCCATTTGTAAAGGGGCATAACTCTAGAACGGTAACACTGACACCACCAAAATTCACACTTGATCTGAGTATTGTGGTAATAAGCTTTTGTAAAAGTTTTATAACATTTGGTTGAGGCAAACTAAATTAGAGAACAAAAACCAATGACTTTGGGACAGACGGACAGACGGTCAAGGGTTGACCCACTATCACATGACTATGGGTCATAAAAATGTAAAGGGAGTTTATGTCAATATTTAAAATCAATTCACCAAAGTTTCATAAAAATTGGTGAAAGCATTCTTGAGACTATCCAAAGTCTCAATATACAATAAAAACTTAAATCAGAATTTTTTTTTTTAATTGAAAGGGAAATTATCATGATTATGTTAATTGGCAAAATTAATAAATGCATGCAACAATTTCTGAAATTTACAGTATATAGGCTTTTAACCCCACGATATTTTTGCACCTGTCCCAAGTCAGGAGCCTATATGTGGCATTTGTCAGTTTTGTATGATTTTTAATTTTAGTTTCTTTTATATATATTTCGGAGTTTAGTATGATGTCCATTATCACTGAACTAGTATACATTTTTGTTAAGGAGCCAGCTGAAGCACACGTCAGGCTGTGGGATTTTCTCGCTGCATTGAAGTCATATTGGTGACCGACTCATCTGCTCTTTG